AAAAAAAAACCATCTCTAGAAAATTCACCTCTCCAACAGGATTGGTAGCCGTGCATGTGTAGTCTCCATTCAGCTCAGTTCGTCCATTAGAGAAGTCCAAGATGTTTCCATCCAACTCAGTAACATCATGAGGTAGGGGAGTGTTATTAGGACCAGACCAATGGACCTAAATAGATTCATAACAAATGATTAAATCGAAATTTGTATGTGGTACATACCGTCGGTGTGGGGATTCCAGTAGTAATGCACTTGAATTGGTGCCTATCACCAGGCTTACCATTCCACACTCGAGGTTCAACCCTAGCTGTTGGTGGTTGCTCCTCTGCAATAGTTTTTATTGATGATTTACAGGTATTAATTTAAGGACAGAATGAAATTTGGGTTGTTACTTCCAACAAATTGCTGCATTTATAATATGACATGCTCCAAACAAAACTTTTTCATTTTATTGGCTCTTTCGGCACCATTGAGATCTAGAAAGTTATACTGATACCATGTGAAAACTACGGATCCAATTTAGAAAAAAAGAGAAAGAAAGTTTAGAAAAACATTTGAAAGGTTGGAGAAAGTTGGAGAGATTCACAGGATAGATCAATAGACTTTTACAAGTCTTTCACCATTATCACGTCCTTGTGAAGTTATGAAAACTTTTAAAAAGTACTTTTTGCATCAGAAGACATCAGATCTTATCTTTTTAACAATGGTATAGCCTTTGGAAAGACAAAAAAAGTCCACATATGCTGATAGAGTAAAACGACCCTATCTTGATAGGGAAGATACTTGATAGACTAAACAACTAGAAAACAGAAATGTAAACATAATTTAAGTCAGATGGATTTTCTTTTATTGCTCCTCCTGGGTTGCTTGAAAAAGTTTCGGCTATTTTCAAAATCAAAAAATTCACAGCCAGAAGTATTAGCAGCATATTCTGTGTAATTTAAGAAGAAGTCGTTTTTACAAAATGTCAATTCTGACTTAGCCAATGATTTCGTTTCTTTAAAGCAGTGAATGAATTCAAAATTTAGAGAGCCAAAAAGCTTAACGGACAGTCTATTTTTGTAGAATTTGAGTATTTGAAGATTGCTGTATTAAGGTAATAGCTTATGCTGATTGAAAAATCATTTCAATTTCCCAGAACAGGGTCTTACTGAAGGGGTTAATCATCTATTTGCATGAAGAGTGATCTATTGGAGTTGACTGATAAGCCAATTGTGAAAATCTTGTCCGTTCCCTATGGCAAAGCTAATTCTCACAGCATAAAATTATTCAAAATTTCCCTAAGGCATGGTGATTTCGAGCTCCATCGTATGCTTACCCCAATCTACAAAAAGGCCTATTGTGTAATAGATCTGATATTCTCAGCACGTCAATCTAATCCGGTGAGAGCACATTCAACCAAATGGATAATTTAACTCTCTATTGTATCCTTTAGGCTACAATCTTCATAATCAGTTTTCAATGGCTCTAATAAAAAGCGTCATAGTAATTTCTGAGCTTCTAGCATTCTTTAGAAAATTAAGCTGATGACTGGCTTCTTTTGATAATTTATATTTTCATTTATCATTTCTAATCTAACAAAAACATAACCATACTAGTCCAAGTAGACTTTGTTCTAGAAGGAAATTTTCTCTCTCAAATAATATGTAAGGTGTTGCCCAAATTCTTCTTCTCAAGGTTTGAAAAAACGGCACGAACCCTACAATCAATTGAAAGTGCAACAACCCTTGTGAGATAATCACCATGCAGAAATTTTTGTTTTCAAAAAATGGTTCATAACCCCGGTTTTTTTGGAATTAGTGCTTATACTTTCTTCACTCAAAAAAGAAAAATTTCTCTCAACAAAGATTTTCG